TTTTTTCTTTGCGAAGATTGAACACAGACAGAAACTCTTTTAAAGCGCAAAAATGTGTCGTGTTTTTGAAATTTTTCTCTCCTAAAAAAACAAAAAGAGGAAAAAGGGAAAAATATATATTTTTTAAAGCGCCATTAATTTAGAACGTTTTTTTTTTTTTTCGTCGAGTCAAACGATTGATAACGCCCCAGAAATTGTTGTCAAAAAAATCGAGGTTCTGTAACAAAGCGAGGTTGAATTAAAACGATCCACCGGAAAGTGGAGATTGGTTAATAAGGTTAACATTGTTGCGGCAGGTCGTTTCGTAAATGCAGTTTATATGAAACGATCAAATGAGACGCAGACGGAATTAGATTTCGGAGTAGATCCCGATAGCGCGATAGTTAATTGATGTTAACTGACAATCGTGGGCAACGCGTAACGTAAATAATACTTGAGATGCTTCGACCTACATAGCCATAACCGTGTTTATGGGAGATAGACAGAACAGTCATACAGAGAGAGGCGAAAGGGGTCGGAAATATTTATCTCACGTCGATATACGAGCACGCCTTTGAAATGAGGCACGATTTGACAGTAAATGGAAAATGTTCCGCTATTTTTGTCGCGGATCGTTTCAAACATCGGTATCGAGCGTCGTTTTATCCTTTGATCTTTATTCACAAACTCTTCACCTCTCGATAAACAACAACGATCCGCGATAAATCGTTATACGGTTGCCGAATGACGCGCAATCAAAATGCAGTCTATTTGAATTAAAGGCGCATTCATGTCAAATAGATGTGACAGGAGATGATTAAAACGTGAAATAGATTACATTAGAGGTTTGGTAACAATTTTATTGGTATTAAAAGGCCCGTTTGATCGTAAATTTACTCGAGTATATATACAGGGTGTTTTGTAACTTGTGGGACCCACTTCGGGAGTTGATTGTACGCCTAAAAATAATTAAAAAAAAGTCATACGAACATATGTCCTGTCTGTCTTCGTTCATGAGATATAATTCAATTTTCACAATAATCATAATTGGGATGAAGAAAACCCACATGTTATTGTGCATTCAAGACATCAAACACCAGTTTAGTTTAAACGTATGGGCAGGAATAATTGATAAATTTTTAATTGGATCTTTTTTCTTGATGGGAAACTAACAGGCACAAAGTACGTTGATTTTTTAAGCACGCGTTTGCACGAAATATTAGAGGAAGTTCCAGTCGATGTTAGACTTCGTATGCGGTGTATGCATGATGGAGCTCCGCCGCATTTTAGCCGAGTGGCTAGGCAATTTTTAAATCAACACTTTGCAAATAAATGGATTGGCCGTGGAGGTCCTGTTGCATGGCCTGCTCGTTCTCCGGATTTGAATCCATTAGATTTTCATTTGTGGGGACATTTAAAATCTATTGTATACGCAANCGTCGATTGAACATGCTGAAATACTAGGAAATAGAATAGAGCAAGGCTTCCGACAAATTCCAGAAACACCAGAAATGATAGAGAGAGAGTAACCAGATGAATGACAAGACGCGTGCAGGCTTGTCTTCAAATGCAAGATAGTCATTTCGAGCATCTTTTGTAAAAGTAATTAAAACAGAAAATTCATTACGTCTCACAAACGAAGACAGATAGGACATCTATTATTTATATGACTTTTTCTCATTATTTTTAGGCGTACAATCAGCTCCCGAAGTGGGTGCCACAAGTTACGAAACACCCTGTATATATTAAAATGTGTTTCGCTCCATTGATTTCAGCGAGTGTTGAATGTTTTCATCAAAACATTTTAATAACTGTGAAAGAATCGTGAAATTTTTGTTAAACTCCCTCCCTCACCGTCAATTGCTAGACTGTAATTAATTCCCTTTTACTAATTCCTTGATTTCAGATTTGTACATTCACAGTTAATATTCAAGTCTCAGGAAATAATTAACTTGGCCTGATTTGGAGTTTCTTAACAGACGACAAAAGTAACAGTATAATTCTAAAATAAATGTAAACGACATGAAACGACGTTTCACGTCATCACGTAAACAAATATATAATACTTGCAAGTAGGCTGTAGATTCCTATGTATGTTCATATTTTAAACGTGAGTTACAGAAACAGAAATGAAACAGATTTGAAATATTTCGTATAATCGCGCGCCCTCTACGCATTCTGTGTGTCGACATTCGCATCGTTCGGTTTCACGGATAAATTCGTAGTTTACTTACGAGCAATTGCTTGTTCGTGCAATTTCTCTCGGTAAGACGGTAAGAGGAGGTGAAAGGGCAGCTAATTACCTGGCAAAGTGCGAAGCGCGACTCAGTGTGAGAAAACTCATCAGAAAACTGATCGATCAGTAGAGTTGGGCCAAGAGGGGGTGGGCTAAGCGGATTAAACAGGAAGGACATCGTCTTCCGGAGGAATGACAAGTACGTGGTTGAGACGAAAACCCTCGTGCACCGTGGGTGGAACGACTGATTATCGGTTCGGGTAGAAACTCGTCGCCGATCGCGGGGAGAGGCAGTTTATAATGTCACTGAACACCGTCGCGTTAACGAAAGCCACGGTTGCCAGCGCGTTGAAAGAAAGCCGACGGGGGCCGGTGTTCCCTTTACGATCCCCTTATGGATTTTCTCCGGTTATCTCGTCGGTCGTCGATCACATCCGTATTCAGTGTCGTTTCGTATTCGCGCCTCTTCGTCCGCTTAATCGTCAAATTACCGACGTAAGGACGTTACACGGCCGATCCGCTTCTCGCGTTGCTCGGTTCTCGCGCGACTAATCGAGCGATCAAATCGCGTCGATTGACACGAGAGATGCGTGAAATCAGTTGTGTGAAAATTGTGACGAGGCAGACGATTGCCGCGTGGTGTTAGCGTGTGCGCGCGCTTTCGACCCGAACGAGGAAGTGTGCAAGGTGGATTTGCAAAGGACAGAGAAGGACGAGCGAGCAGTTCTGTGTGATCGGGAACTGTTGCTGGTGGAGCACGAGGGAACACGAAAATGTTGTCCACGGTATCCAGCGTTCCGCTTGAATTGAATTCCTCGTGGTATACAACCGTCACAGCTGGGAACAGCGGTTTCAATGCGTTATCGGGTACGCTGCGATGTGTTGTCACGTCAAATTTCATTTTGTTAATCCTCGATGAAACGCGGGGGAAAGGGAGAACGGCTGGGCGGGGGAACGCAGAGGGGTGAAATTGTATATTGTTAACGTTAAAGGTTAACAATATACAATTGTTAACTGTGTATTTGTTCATGCAAATGTCGTTATTGCGAAAGTTTCGGAAAATTTTCGGCTTCTATTCGTCGAGGGAGAAAAGTAAAAATTCGTGGATCGAATAATAAAAATGAGCCTCGTCTGCGTTCCTCTTCTCTGGAGCTGTGAGAGATGATATCCTGTCAGAGAAAGAATACCGTGGCACGTATCATATTTCTGTTCGGTGCGTTTTAAATATTCAGCGTATTACAATTGCTGAGAACGTACGTCGGAATTTAATTGAATTTTGGACATTGATAAAAGCAGCATGTGTAAAATTTTTGTACATTGATTCAATGAATGAAAGCCAGAGCATAGATTAATTTTCGTAACGAAACTCGTTGTTAGAATGCGTTGTTATTGTTTTTTTAAAAATCGAAAAATGCCTTTTAAATAGATGATAATCTTGGATGAAAATTCAAAGAAGAAAATTCAAAGAAGAAATTCCAATTGATAACGAACTAGACACAAAGAAAATTCATTTGTATTGCAACATTACGACGCAATAATTATCGTTTAATTGAGATTTCGTGAGAGAATGGAAAAACTTTTTAATTAAGATATTTTACATTTTATATGACGTTATATTAGAATGATATTCTGTATTCTAAGCTTGAATCTGTTATTTATTGAATTTTCTGTACAGAACGTAATTAATTTTACATGATGTTAATAATAATATTTCAGTGATCAAGTCTGAAAATACCTCGGAGAGAGATCTGTACATGTTGCCGGCTTACATTCGCACTACGTCCATGGTCGCGTGCATTGTGGTGATGGTCCTCGGTATAATTGGAAATCTTATGGTAAGTTCCGCCTCTCGATTTCACCTATCGTCGGTTATTTTCCAATAACGTATAATGTAAGAATTTAAAGCAGTGGAATGCTACGCGCGAAAGATATTCAACATTGACTTGTATACGTTTACACTCGTGTCGCGTTGTTAACTTCAATTTCAACTAAATTTTATTACTACCGAGCGACATGCGAAATTTTCTGTTTTCGACATATGAAATTATTATTACGCAGCATGCAATATTAACAAGTTCATCGTAATTTAACGTAGTAATTATAAATGATGGTATTGAAATTGAATAGTAGCGTCACTGTCAAAGGAAGATTGTGATGTTATGTAATATCGTGTATAATTATAAATTATTAATAATAGTCAGAAAAATGTTACGCGAGTCGAAAACGCAATATTATACTACAATTTTGAATATTTCCTGAACAAATTGCAATTCTGTAATTTATGTAGTGAATAAGAAAGATATTTGTGATGTAGCATAGTAGAATTTGAATCACGTGGTTTTCAAATAATAAGATTTCGATATTATGTTAGTAATATTGTCCGAACATTTAACAACGATATTTAAAATATGAAGTACAACCTAAAATGCTTTAAGGTGGTGCCAAATTTTGATTTAGGTATTACTAATAAGATACAAATAACAATTTACTAAAAATTATTTCACTTAGCACGTACTAATTGTAAATAATTTTTGTTAACTGATCATCTCCATCTTTCGATGTCGGTCCTCTTTAACTCGATATTATTGAAATTATTGTAATACTTTTTACCAGTTAAATATAATCATTATAGTATAAACACATAATATATATCAAATATATACAAAATAATGAAATATAATTTTTTTGCACAATTTTCTTAATCTCCTATATATCACATAACCATATGCCATTTTAATTTCTTATATATCACATTATGTACCATTATAAAATTCATTAATTCATCATAGAGATATTTAACTACAACACATGATTAAAAACCTCATCTTATTACATAATAGACTGAGAAGAATATATGTATGTACATAATTGATTTAAGCTTGTAGAAAAAAGAAATCCCTCAGAGTATAATACACAAATTGTATACCAAGAGTAAACAAATATGAAAAGAAAATATAAAATAAATAAAAATAAAAGGAAACAGTAGATTATGTATTAGTCTTACTACGTTAATTAATTTATATTTTATTCCTTCACATATTAATCTAATATCTTAATATTGACGACCTTTTTTTTTTTTTTTACTCGTTTTAGGTACCGATCGTGGTGTTTCGAGGCAAAGATATGCGGAACAGCACGAACATCTTCCTGGTGAACCTGAGCGTGGCCGATTTGTGCGTTCTCCTGATCTGCACGCCGACCGTTCTCGTCGAGGTGAATTCCGGACCTGAGATCTGGCTGCTTGGCGAACACATGTGTAAGTGAACACAACGATTTATTCTGCCATACTTCGCGCCTAACTTACTACACATTACGTTCGACGTGCGCGTGCGAAAGATGGAGCGTTCGAAAGAAAGCAAACAGTGAATGTTCCGCTGTTTTGTCTTATTATTTTTAACGAGAAATTTCGGCGACGTTGATCGATCAAAACGTATCCTTTAATCGTACGTACGTGCTTTTTGTTTTCTTTTCCTTTTTTTTTTTTTTGTCCGATGAATTACAGTAACGTGTAATCGATTTTGGATATGCAAATTATTCTCTCCGGCACGAAACTGCAAAGGGAGCAGAATGTGCAGACATCAATGTATATTCACTTACGAGTTACTGTGTGAAAATTTTGAACTGAAATTATGTTTATTTATAAAGTAACAAGGTAGGCGGCAAATGAAACAGTAATACATATAAGAATAAAAAAAATAAATAAATAAACAAAATGGTAGGGTTTTGGTAAAGTTTTTGAAAGAGAGATATAATTATTATTTTCTGAATTGATAAATTACGTAGGTATAAAAGAATTATTCCCTACAACATAAAGTTTTAGATTTCAATAAATCTTAACGTACGTTATAGTTACATATGTATTTACTCATTCTTTTATGGAAGTCCAACGAGAGAAATTATTTTTCTTTTAAAAATAGAATAGTAATACATATATATATAAATCTTTTTTTATATTTGTTTTACATATCGAAGCCTCAAAAGCCAATTAAATGTAAGTCAGTTACCATTAAAAGTGATTTGTGCCATAGAAACATATTTTTCTTATCGAAATCTTCAGTCCACGGAGAAATTTACTTACAGTACCATAATAATTACATTATTATGACCAACAATCGTCCATGGACAATTTTAACGCCAAAGAGATATTCGCGCGGCATAAATTATTCCTGACAATTTACACTAATTGGCATAGCACTTCGTATACATATGTACACATTTCACGGGAACAGCATTAAAGTAATGTCCGCCATTATCGACCAAAATATCGCCGAAGGTCTGATACAACAGAAATCAAATACACCTTAAACATATATCAGCGTGAATGCGTTGAACATTCACCTGTAAACCTATAAACGACAGCGTACATCTTTCCCATGGAATTACAGGGGATATAATGCAGCAAACCGCGATGTGATGAATACACGGTTAGTTTCATACCAGAGGCAGAGGCAGTAGAACGATCGTCGTGATCATTTTAGATCGGATCGATTTTCGAGAATCCGCGGTATCGATCTGGCCTGATGTACATACCGATGTGCTGTGTAAAATTCGACGAACGGGCAGATACATAGACGCTCATTTGTCCAGCGAACGAAATACTGGCGTTCGCCAATGTTTAACCGCCCCCTCCCCTTGCCCGAGCCGAATACCAGTATTACCATTTGTCCGTGGATGAGAAATCCTTGATTCAATTCTGCAACGACGTTGCAGCGCGTTTAGCGCCGTCTCGTTGGACACCGGCCAAGACAGAGCAAGTAATCGTTTGAAAGCGTTTCACCGTCGTTAATGGCGGAGGTACGAGAGTTTCGCGGCATTGTGACACTGCTGAGAAGCAAGGGTGGCGTCGATCGTAATTATCTTCGTGAACCTGCAATTACGGGATATGCGAACCTCGCAATTGAGGAATCATTCAATTCCTCACGTGTTACTTGTTACGTTAACGCGATGAATAGATCGTGGATCCTTATTAACTATTTTTCTTTTTCTTTTTTTTTTTTTTTTTAACATTTCTCGAACGTTGTTAAAAGAATGAAATCTAGATAGAAATTTGTTTTATTGTACTGTGTATTGTAATAAATACTCTAGTATATTTCACGTTTCTTTTTTTGGTATTGTTTTGCTTCTTGCATGAAAACTCACAGTGCGTTGGTAAGAAATGAAATTTTTCAAATTATCATTAATAATCTTCCAATATAATATAAAATCAGAATAGCAGAATATATTTTTATATATATAAAATCAGAGCTTGCTTGTTATTATTATTATTAACATACTCCGTTTTTCATTAATTTCATTGCATCGTTCATTTTTTTTAATTAACTTCTTACTTTCATTTTGTAATTGAACTGAAAGAATTAAGAATTAAATTCATTTCATTTCATTTGATCAGTTAATGTTATATAAATACGTGATTAATATTCACTTCTCAGACACAGATGATTCTACTTTCGAAAATAGATCTATGTATTTCATCTACGTATTTTACATTTCGTATCTGTACATTAAATATTACGATGTTGATTTTGTAATTAATGAGACGCATTTTATTTTATAGTATACTGACTAAAGTGTTTGAACACTTGCCACAGGTACTATGTATTCTTATTAATTTTCTGACTTCTATGCCATTTAATAGATAAAAAAAGAATTGTTGTAACTACTATCAATGAAACATATTGAGTGTTAAAGTCGTCAAAGACAAAACATTTGCTTTCTGGTCTTCGTATATTATCTGTATCATACAAAACATTTTTGAAATAAAGAATACTTATTTACTTATATCTGCATTACGTACAAACGAGTGATATCAATTGAATTGTTGTGTCAATTTAATTTAATTAATATTAGTGAGATGTAATTGGTATTATTAATATCTTTAAGTGTGTTCGAGGGAACTTACATTCAATTAAAAGAAATAATTTTATTTAAAATTAAAAATTAATTCCATTGATTCAGTTTATACAATTTTGGCATGCAACTACTCGATATTTACGTTATCGATCTGCATACACTTTAATATAATTTCGTGACGTTATTTATACAATCATATAATACATGAATTGAAAGTGAACGAATATACCAATGTACCATCTTATTCCATATAGTAACAAATAGTACCAAAAGAAAATTGTGACACCAAATTTCTTGATATTTTTTCTACATTTGTACAAACACCAAAATCAATTGCTCATTTATAAAAATTTATAAAAAAACTCATTTTTAATTAAATCTTTCATCGATTAATTTGCAACGTCGAATTCTTATTAGACACATACATCAAGTTATTATTTCTGTTGTCTTTGTCTTGTCCTCTTTTGTCTATTCTATCGCGATAAACTATAATATAATATATTACCGTGTGACTCGTAAATGCAAAGATGGTACACCAGAGGAAATCGGCTTGTGTTAGCAACGGACATAAAAAAATCTCGGTTTTTTTAAATATATAATGTTTGAACAAAAGATTTTGTTTTTGCAAAACAGTGTGCACTATTAAATCGAACACTAATTTCATCAATTTACGGTATCTTCAATAATTTCCGAGATATGTTTCGCATCCCCAATTCTGAGTGTAGTTTTCAAAAAAAAGAAATACGGGTCAAATATTTTTTTGAAAGCTATATTCGTGCCAAATATATCATTGGCGATTCCGACTTTGGTACGTTCCCTTTTCAGTCCATCTCACTCCAGAAGTTTGCAGAAATTTGAGTTCATTTTACGGATCAACCGGAGGCACCAAATATATGCAGGACTAAGTAACGAGTTTTCTTATCTTAAGGTTGGAGTGGTCGTGAGTGTGTTTGCTAGGGATACGCGGTTGTACGATACGTTTCCGATTCCCCTGAAAAATGGAGGGAGAACCCGTATGGAGAACGAGGTCAGACATGTATGTTCATAAGAACATCCGCGAGACAGTTAACGGAATGACCATGCACTCTAGATAAAAGCAAAGCGTTCGGTAGCAAAGCGAGGGTGATTCGTTGTAAACACGGCATACGTATTTCGTACGTAATTAACACGATCGACGACGACCGTAAAAACAAGACGAATATCATCGAAAGTTTTCCACAAATCATCGAGGAAATTTCTCAATAACACTTGGAGCATTTAGAGATAATGCGTCAGAATGAAAAATTGTGGATTACAAGTACATATATCAGTGTTTTATAAAAATCGAATTGATTCCATTTGAGAGGCGAACACGTAACGAAACGTAAAATTGTCAATACTTCGAATTGTTACAATTTTGTAAAAACAAGTCGTACAACAGTCTTCCTTAATAAATAATAAATAAATGACAGAACGATGAAAGTAAAAGCTTGACGCTTTAAAATGAGACTAATTGCAAAAGTAGATTGTTACACGACTTTTTTTTTTCTTTCTTTAGGAAGTTATAAAAGTTCGAAATAGCCTAATTTCTTTTATCAATGTCAGTCGCGGTGTGACACTGACTCTACTGTCAGGAAACAATTTGCCGGAACAGTGACGATAACTCGATCGTAAAATTCTTTTCCCTGGGAAGTCAAAGCATCCTATAAAACGCTATATATTTTGCTTCAGTCGACAGACTCTAAATCTAGAATTGTGAAACGAAAGGTTCAAACGGGGTGTATCATTGGTGTCTTACTCTTTTTTTTTCCTGCTGAAGTTAGTTTCATCTGATGCATCGATAAATCCCATTCAACAGGATTCTGTTGTCGTCATCAAGAAGGATGACGTTTGCTCATTAGAATACTTTAAGGATATGTTGTAAATTGAAATATAATTTATTTTAAAATTCCATGTGTGAGTGTTAACGAAACATTTCGATTGCAATTTTTGTTTCAATCGATTTATCACATCATCGACTCTCTTCATTATGACTATGAAGGTTAATCCCAAGAGTTTGCCTGATATTTTCTCGTCTCTACCTCTTCTGTTTAGACCAACTTTACGAAACTTCCGAAAGCTGAGATGTTACACAATCTATTGCTTTAATAATGCATGCATCAATTACAATTGCAATTTTTGCTTCAATCGATTTATCACATTATCGAGTCTCTTCATTAACATTATAATTATGAAGGTTAATTGCAAGAGTTCGCCTGATATTTTCTCGTCGCTATCTCTTCTGTTTAGACCAACTTTACGAAACTTCCGAAAGCTGAGACGTTACACAATCTATTGCTTTAATAATGCATGCATCAATTACAATTGCAATTTTTGTTTCAATTGATTTATCACATTATCGAGTCTCTTCATTAACATTATGACTAT